GCCCCCTGCTGAGCTCCCGCCCTCCCCCGGCAGCACAGCGCCCCCTGCTGAGTCCCCTCCCCCTTACAGCACAGCGCCCCCTGCTGAGCCCGCATCCCTCACCCTGCAGCATGGCACCTCCTGCTGATCCCCCACCCTGCCCCCTACTGCCCGGCGCCCCCTGCTGAGCCCCTGCCCCTGGCAGCACGGCACCCCCTGCTGAGCCCCCTGGCTCTGAGCTGTCCCTACTGAGGACACAGCGACCTCCCGGCCCGCCCCAGCCCATGCCCGCCCCCAGGGCAGTACCCACCTCATAGAGCAGATACTCCTTCTTGAGCCGATACTCCTCCAGGTCGCGACCCCGGCCCCGCTTGTCTGGCAGGTTCCGCTGGTGCTCGCCCAGCTCATCCGAGAACTTGTCCATGCACGCCTCGTGGGCCTGGTGCTGCTCCTCCTGCCGGGACATGAGCTCAGTTCAGGAGTCCCCACACATCCCCAGGAGCCCCCCATGGGAACCACAGCCACTGGGGCCGGAGGGATGGCCACGACAAGTAGCCAATCCATGGGGCACGGGGCCGCCATAGGTTGAGCCGGGAAGCTGATCCAGTCACCACCTATGGTGCTGACGGGCCCACAAATCCATGATGGGGCAGAGCCCATGGGGGGGCACTCAGGCGTGGCACCAGGGGGCAAAACTGAGCCAAGGAAGATGCCCCTGTCAGTGAGCTCCTCAGGCTGTGGAGAAAACCCTCAGGGGGTCTGGGGGTCCCATTGCTGAGGAATCGCTGAGGGACCCTGGGGGTCCTGTGGCTGGGAGTCACTGAGGGGCCTGGGGGTCCCATCACTGGGAGTCGCTGAGGGCCCTGGGGGTGCCATCACTGAGAGGTGCCGTGGCTGGCAGTCGCTGGGGGCAGTCCTGCCCCATGCCCGAGGGTGGCAGCGCTGGGGAGCTCACCAGGGAGCTGCGGCACTGTGCCGTGGGCAGGATGGGCCGGATGAACTTGCGCTGGGAGCCCACGGCCGCTGGGAAGGGTGGGGACGAGAACATGGCGGCCACCAGGTTGATGCGGGAGATCCAGGAGCTCATCTCCTCGGCGCTTCTGGGGAGGAGAGAGGGAGAGACTGGGGGGTAGATTCTGGGAGGAGGCAGCGCCCCTGGGGCCTGTGCAGGTGAAGGCTCTGGCCGGCTGCCCCTGGCTGGGTCCCAGTCTGTGTTCAGCTCCCAGGGTGGGTGTAGTGGGGGCTGCGGGTCGGGAGTGAGGGGCACGGGCAAAGCTCCAGCTAGGAAGGCAGAGCCATGTAACATGCCGTGCCTCCGGGGTGGGATGGGCAGCAGGCCCCAGGACAGGGGGGATTGAGGTAAAGGAGCAGGGAGAGTGTGCCTCGGCGTGTGGGGGCGGGGGCAGAGTGCCCAGGCAGGGCAGGGGAGGAGCATGCCCAGGGTGGGGGCAGCATATCCAGGATGGGGTGAGAGGCAATGTGCCCTGGCCAGGGGAGAAGGGCAGGGTGGGGGGCTTCGTGCCTGGGGTGGGGGGATGGGGCATCATGCCCAGGATGGGGCAGTACCATGCCTGGGGGAGCACTCACAGCGCCTGGAAGAGGAAGACACGCCAGTCGGCCGTCTGGAGGCGGAAGACGTGCGGGCGCTTGTTGTACTTGCAGGCTCTCTCGGCCAGCGCATGGTGAACCCCGATCGGCTCCTCCATGCCTGGCACCTCCGCCCGGGTCTCATCCTGCGGGGGAGGGGCACATGGAGCATGAGCCAAGAGGCGGGAGCAGGCAGCCCGGTCTGGAGCCCTAGCCCCCGCCGGCACAGCCTGTCTGCCTCCCACTGCCTGCCCCTTGTGCCCCCACGCCAGGGACCCACTCCCAGGGCGGCTCCTGCTCCATGGGCTGGGCCAGGGGTGCTGGGCCTGGCTGGTGTCTGCCGGGGGCTCCGGCTGGCCATCAGGGAGACATGGATCTGAGCCACAAACAGCCCCCAAAGCCACTTTAGATATGGTGCCCCCCAGCCACAGCACTGCCCACCCCTCCCCGCGCCCCCAGCCCCACGGCGCTGCCCACCCCTCCCTGCACCCCCAGCTCCACAGCAGGACCCCAGCATTACCTTGAGGAAGTAGAGCACCATCCCCTTGAGCACTGTGTAGAAGGTTTTCCAGCCTCGCTTCCCCCAGGGTGCTGAAAGGGCAAAGGTCATACAGGGTGACAACCCAGCCCCAAGGAGGGTGAGAGCTCCACCCGCCCCAGCCCGTGATGGGTGTCACCCCACAATGCTGGTTTCCCGGGGTGACACATGTCTCTCTCTCTCTCTCTCACACACACACACACACATGCAGGGGCTGGTTGCTGGGGCAACAGGCATCACACACCCTGCGCTGGTTGCCGGTGTCACTCCTGCCCCCATATTGGTTGCCAAGTATCACTCCCCCCATGCTGACTGCCAGGCAACGGATGTCACTGTCCCCCATGCTGGTTGCCAGGGAGACGGACGACACTCACTCTTCTTGCCATCGGCTTCGGCGTGCACCTTGCGGGCGAGCTGCCCCTCCTTGTATGTGGTGGCCTTGGCGTCCTGGGTCAGCGTCAGGAAGGGGTTACTTTTCTTCCGGCTGGACGGGGTGCTGGGTGGCCGGGGCGTCAGGGTGCTGACCAGCTCCTCCTCGTCCCTGCAGGGGGAGCCACAGAGCCTGGCATCACAGGCTGGGCTGGCACGGTGCCCCCCCGGGTCAGAATGGAACAGGCCGGGGTTTCCCCCCCCCCTCCCATTCGCCTCCCCATGGTCAGAAAGGAATGTACCATGGCTCCTGCAACCCCGTGTGGTTAGAATGGAACAGACGTGGCTCTCCCTTACTCCGCATCATAATGGAACCAGCCATGGCTCTCCCTTACTCCCCGTCATCAGAATGGAACAGGCTGTAGTTCCTGCCCATCCTCCCTATGGTCAGAATGAAACAGACCATGGCTCCCCCTTATCCCATGTCATAATGGCGTGACTCCTAACCTTCCCTGCTCATGGTCGGAATGGAACAGGCCGTGGCTCCTACTTGTTCCCCCCATGGTCAGAATGGAACAGGCCGTGGCTCCTACTCATCCCCCCATGGTCAGAAAGGAACAGGTTGTGGCTCCCCCCCCCCATCAGAATGGAACATGCCATTGATCCATGGGGTGGAATGGGGGTTGGATCAGACTGTGTGGCTCCCGGGAGGGACCATTGCAGGCAGCGGGGGCAGTGGGAGGCTGGCGTGGCCCCGGGTACTCACATGGCCCACTCCAGCTTCTCGTTGCGGATGGAGTAGTACAGGGCCTGCCAGGAGAGTAACAGGGCGTCAAAGGGGCCCCTTCCCCGGTGAGAGCCCCGCCCCCTGCCTGGGGCAGGCCCCACGCTGCCCCCTAGCAGCAAGAGAGCCGGGGGTCCCTGCCTCCCCCTGGCACTACCCTGGGCAGAGCTGTTCCTTCCGCTGCCAGACTGGCTGCTGCTGCAAATGCCATCCTCTGCAGAGACAGCCCTAGCTGGGACGGCTGGGTACCCCCAGTCGGGGGGGGGGGGGGGCGGTCACCCTCGCTGCAATCACTGCGACCCCACAGCCATTCCCTGGGCTGTCTCCCCAACGGCACGGTAGGAATGGGCCTGGGCTCTGGGATTAGCCACGTTCCTCCCACACACACAGGGTCACGCGGAGCCCTGTTACCCTCCCCACCCCATGCAGCACTGAGACACTGGGGGCAGGGTGCCGGGATAGGTAGAGATAGCTAGAGGGGGTGGATGGGGATAGATAGATAGATAGATAGATAGATAGATAGATATGGGGTTGTATGGGAATAGATAGATAGATAGATAGATAGATAGATGGGTGGATGGGGATAGATAGAGTGTGTTTGTGGGGGGTAGATAGATGGATACGGGGGTGGATGGATAGATCTGTACAGGATGGACAGATAGACAGGTGACTGGATGGACGGTGCAATGGCTGGACACACAGCTGGGTAGGTATCGGGATGTGCCAGGCCCTCAGCTGGCATGCAGGCCGGAAGCTCTCGACGCCAGTGGCGTCAGCTCGCCCGGCCGAGGGGCTCAGTACCTTGAGCTGATCTTTGGGGAAGTTCTGCCCATCTCTCATGCCGTCCAGGTTGGTTACAAACTCGTGGCAGGTCATGCTGCGGCCGATGTTCTGCAGCCACAAGGGGGCGATGGTGCCACACACACACCAGGGTGGGAGAAACATGGATCACAGTGAGAACAGGGCTGGGTTTGTGCCCGTGGGGCACTCAATGCTGCCCAGCGCACATGGCCCCACACATGGCCCCACCCTAGGCCAGGGCTGGCCCCAGGGCCAGGGGCACTGACCTCCCAAAGCCTGGATAATGGAGCCAAATAATCTTTCTAGCACTCAGGGCCTGTTGCTCCCAGAGCCCTGGAGAGGAGCTGCACCGGGGCTATGACACTGTTACACGATGCTACATCTAGCCAGCAGAGGGCAGCAGTGCCATGTCTGGCCCCCTCTAGTGCTGGCCAGGACCACAGACACAGGCTAACGGAGGAGGGGCCACGGTTCCATCCCGAGGGCTGACAACTCAGCTGGGGGGTGGGCCCTGCGCCCCTCGCTCCGCTAGCCTGCCCGTGACAACGTGGCTATCCCAGTGACAGGCAGAGTCGCTCCTTGCCCCTAAGAGCACAAAGCGAGAGGGGGGTGGCAGGCAGGAGCAAAACCCAGGAGTCCGGGGGCCGGGTCTGTGCTGGAGCCTGTTTGGGCACACCCCTCCACGCCCGTGTTTCTGCACACAGGCACTCCCCTGTTCACACACATGCCTGCTCTTGGGCAAACAGCCCGTGTGGCGTGCACACCCAGGGCCTTGTGCCCACACTCACACAGCATTTCACCCTGGAGCTGCAGCATGGAGCCATGACGCATCTGGGCGGGGGGCGCTGTTCTCAGGGGTGATCTTCCCCCTGACCCAGGGTGTGAATCACGGGCCCAGCTCCTCCCGGGTACGAGGCCTGGGGTCCCACACAGAACAGCTGCCAGGGGTCCATCTTGGTGCCGCCAGGCACCAGGGGTGGCTCCCAGAGCAGCAGGAGAAGGGGAGTTTGCAGGGCCAGTCGCTGCACTGCCCAACTCCCCAGATCAGCCGAAGACTAATGGGCCCCTTGAGCGGTGCTGGAATTGTGTGTGACCAGGGACAGCTGGGTGAGGGCCAAGGAGAGACACCCAGCAAAGCGAAATGCCAGCCAAAACCAGCGGGCAGCCCCAGCTCCACGGATCTCCCTCCCCTCTGACACGGGCATACGCTAGCACAAACCCATGAGCACACGCCTGGGCAAGCACCCAGATGGCCATGCACACACAAGTATGTGCGAGATCACGGAGCCTGTGTCCACGCACGTGTGCGCTAACTGGAGGCCTGTCCCCTCCCCCCCCCCTCCTGGACTGAGCCTGCCGATTTGCTAACGAGCTTTTTAGCCTTGCTTTTTCGTGCGATCGGTTCCCTTAGTGACTGTGGCGCTGGCGAAAAGGGCCAGACGGACGGACCATCCCTCCCCCCTGCTGCAACCCAGAACATGCACAGCCACCTGCCCCCAGTCCTCACCCTGCCCCTCGTGAGCCCTCCCTGCTGGAGATGGGCTTAGCCCCCCTAACTCATTGCACACTGGCACCAAAGCACCATCCGATGGGAACCACATCCCAGTACCAACCCCGTTTCCCCTCTGTGCCACGAAACACCCAGCTCTGGGCACCGCCCTGGCATGGGCAGTCGGACCACACTCTGGGCTTGGTTGGTGAGATCCCCATTGAACCCGCCCTCCCTGCTGGGAGGGACTCCCAGATCGCCACAGGCCAGATGCTGCCCCCTGGAGCCCACCCCCCCGCCATGCCCGTGGGCTCACCTGCCCGTGCAGGTCCGTGTTGAGCAGCATGAGGGCGCAGGTCAGGGTGTGCACAGCATCTGGGGGGCAGAGAGGGAGCGTGTGTTCGGCACAGAGCCGGCCTGGGGTCCGTGGCAGGAGAGATCTGCAGAGCCCTCTGCGTGTGGACAGCGGGGGGCCCACGGCCCTCCAGGGCACAGATCGCCCTGCCTGGCACCTCTCCCATGCAGGCACCGTGGCAGCCTCCTGGCAAATGATCCCAGATCTCCGTGGCACGGCTCCTCCCCCGGCATCTACTGAGTGCTGGGGTGGGGGCAGGGGCAATTGTGGGCATTCGCATGGGGGCAGTGGGGATCCCGAAACGCCTCCATCCCGGGGCTCCGAAGTAAAACCTGGGCATCCCAGCCAAACTCCAGCTTCATTCATCGCCTCTGCCCCTAACCTTCACCCCACCCTCGCAGTTTCCTGTGGCACGGCACTCTTCACTTCCTGTCTTAAACTGGCCCGCAGCCTTGTGGTGCCATTAAACAGCTGCCTGGTTCCAGCCCAGAGGTGGCTACCTTTCGGTGGCAGGTGCCATGAGCACTCTGAATGGCCCGAGGGCTGGGAGGGGTGCATCGCCACTCTTTAGAAGCGTGATGGTCCTGCCTTTGCTAGTGTGGGTAGGGAAACTGAGGCACAGAGCAGCACCAGTCCGGTGGGGAGTGAGTGGCAGCATCAGGCCCAGGGTGCGTCAGACCCTAGGGTGTCTGTAAGCCGGGGCGGGGAGGTGGGGGCCCTGGAGAGCTCACCTGCCGAGGGGAAGGCGTCAGGGTTGCTGAGATGGTAGCGCTTAGAGAAGTGTCCGAGGATCCGCTCCCGCTCCTGCGTCTCTCCAGTCAGCACGAAGGCCTTGAGGAAGAACCTGCCCGGAGCAGAGGAGACACCGCACGGGGAGACTTGCAGCTGCACCTGGACTAGCTGGATCCTCTCCCCTCCCCACCCTGCACAGGCCGCTTGTCTGCTGCAGCTGCAGCCCCAGGTGTCTTTGTACAACCCTTGGCACCTTGCAGCTCCAGGCCCGTGCAACAGGGACTCTACCTTCTCGGACCCAGAACTGTGTGGCCTGGGGGCTTTCTCTGCCTGGGGCTGATCAGCCGTTTGCTCCAATCCCCGTCTCCCTCCCCACGTCTGCCCTATTTAGCTTGTCATTTCTTCGGGGTGCAGACTGTCCAGTATGCTGTGTGTCCAGCGCCTGGCACCTTGCGTCCCTCTCTGGCTGGCCTTAGGTCCAGCGCAAGAGATGAGGAATTAATAGCGCTGCTCCGAGCGCTCCCTCCCTCTGCCCCCCTCCCCACAAGCTTTCGTCCTGCGCTGCTCCCCTGGGAAACGCTCTGGACGGATCTGTGGTGCCCTTACCTAAGCGCACGGTCCAGAGTCTGCCCGCTGAACTGGAAGAAGGTGAGGTACTCCTCCGCCACCTGCCGGCTGAACTCGTTGCTGGGAACCAACACATGCAGATCAGAGCAGCGCAGAGCTGAGCTCCTGGCTACTCCAGCCCTGGCCTCTCCCAGCAGGGGGCGCTGTGGGGAGCGGGGCAGGAGTGCTGGCTGTGGGGGGAGCTCCCGGTGACTCCAGCCCTCCCAGCGGGGGGCACTGTGAGGAGTGGGGCAGGGCGCTTGCTGTGGGGGGAGCTCTTGACTACTCCAGCCCTCCCAGTGGGGGGCACTGTGGGGAGTGGGGCAGGGCGCTGGCTGTGGGGGGAGCTTCCGGTGACTCCAGCCCTCCCAGTGGGGGCCACTGTGGGGAGTGGGGCTGGGCGCTGGCTGTGGGGGGAGCTCCTGGCTACTCTAGCCCTCCCAGCGGGGGCACTCCAGAACACCGTCCATCTTGCCCGAAACATCACTTAAATCCTACTTCTTCCTGAGGTAGGAGGCCACCTGCGACCTCTTGAAGCCGTCCAGGTGGTAGAGCCGCGCTGCCAGCCGCTGAGCAGCCCCCTGGTCCCCGGAGGCCCCGTTGGCAAGCAGGGCCCCGTCGGGCTGCGGCACTTCCAGATCTCCTGGCTTCTCCCCTGCGTCCTCCTGCCTGGGACACCTGAGGGGGCAGATGGAGGTGTCAGAAGCAGGGGGGGCCCCCTCCCATCACTCCCTTCGCCATGGCTGAGTCCAGCCCTCTCCTGCAGCAGCCTGCCGCTGGGAGGGGGGCACTGGCTCCATGTGCCAGGCTGCAAGGCCCAGCCCCCACCCACTGAGCCTCAGGGGTCTAGCTCAGGCAGTGTAAGTGACGCATGGGGCCTTGTGATCTGCCCCTCTGTGCGCAGCGCTCAGACACGAGTCTGTGGATAAGTAAGGATAAGAGTCCTACTACTGCTGCTGCTGCCTCTGAGTGCTCTTCGTTAGCTCACGGGGCAAAGGCTGCAGTTCGGAGAGCGAACGAAGCTGGGTTCTCATTCTGCTTCCCCATTAGGAGTGAGCAAATCCTATATCAACTCATGTGTGCGTCAGAAAGGGGGGTAAGGCTGGGGAGGAGCCCATGCCTGCAGTCATAGAATCATAGAATATCAGGGTTGGAAGGGACCTCAGGAGGTATCTAGTCCAACCCCCTGCTCAAAGCAGGACCAACCCCAACTAAATCATCCCAGCCAGGGTCTGGTGAGGGACGGATCGAGCGGGGGGGTCTGGGGAGGGACGGATCGAGGGGGAATTTGGGGGGGATGGATTGAGGGGGGTCTGGGGAGGGATGGATCAAGGGGAGGTCGGGGGGGTTGGTGAGGGAT